GAGCTGGCGCTCTAGCCTCCCATAATCGAAGTCGAGGAGCTGGTCACTCCCGGGGGCACGGGCCTCTGGCCCGTGCAGCTACAGCTCCTCAAGCGCCTTGGTGTTCGTGTCGAGGCTGGCGGAGTGGAGAGGTTGGACAGCGGTGGGAACCTGCGCCAACTCTCCCTCCATCGTAATGATGAAGTCTAGGTTCTGGTAGCGCACTCAGGACCCAGCTGACGCCATGACTAGCCATCCGAGGCCCGATGTGGACGTCGAGACGCGCAAAAGGCCCCTACCTGGCGCGCCAACTGTCGGTGTTTTTGGACCACCGACGAGTAAATTTGTATTTGCGCGTTTGGCCTGGTTGGTGTGCTTGGAGGACACAAGGGTTTATACTAGTTCGAGCAGAATGTCCCTACATCCAGTTCACTGTTGCTCGTGTTACCGACACTTGGTTTGCTGTAGGGGTTACAAACAGGCAAGAGAGGGAGAGGATCCTAAGTGTCTAGTGGAAGGAGCGAACGGGTGCTGAGAGCTCACTTGTCGCTCAACCATGTGCTCATGTCGTGCTCTTGTGTTTCGACTTTGTGTTTTTTTCGCCCCCCTCCATGAGGCGCCCTGCTTCCCCTTTTATAGACGAAGGGAAAGCACGGGTTATAGAGGAGGAAAAGTAGAAGAATGGGAGAGAGAAGAAGGCTTCTAGGGTTGTCGGGTCCTTCTTCTCCTTCATGTGGGTCCCGCTGATCCTGTAGATGTCAACAGGGATGGCTCCATATCATAGCCCTATTCATTACTGGCACCATGCGTTTTGTCATCTGTCGGTCATGGCGTTCCACTCCATCCTGGTGGACCTCGTGGTGAACTGACGCGCTTGTCAGCATCCGTACGAGGATTAGGTAGAACAGCACTAGCACGTCCGACACTGTTCTTGATGTGAATCCCCTGGTATGGCCCGTCATGGCCACATGTTACATTGAGGCGTGTCACCCTCTTCCCTGGCGTCAGAGTTTTGACCTAGGCCCATACGCTTAGACCTAGAATGGTTGGTGGTGGTATGGGTCCCCGTCGGATGAGACGGAACCCACGTCCTCGAGGTCGGGCAAGACGGAGCCCGCACCCAAGGGGTTGGGTGAGACGGAGCCCATGTCCTTGAGGACGGGCGAGACAGAGCCCGAGGTCGGGCAAGACGGAAACTGCGTCCTTAGGGTCAGGTGAGATGGAGCTCGCACCCAAGGGGTCGGGCGAGAGGAAGCCCGCGGCCTTGAGGTCGGGTGAGATGGAAACCGCGTCCTTGGGGTCGGGCGAGATGGAGCATGCGGCCTTGGGGCCAGACAAGATGGAGCCCAAGGTCGGGCGAGACATGATTCGTGTCCTTGGGGTAGGGCGAGATGGAGCCCACACCCAAGGGGTCAGGCAAGTCGAAAATCGCATCCTTGGGGTCAGGCGAGACGGAGCCCGCACCCAAGGGGTCGGGCGAGACCTTTTAATACGTCTCGAGCCATCCAGGGAAGTCAGCATGGGCGCTAACTTACTTTGGGTATCCCTACTATCGATACCCGACAATGGTCCTCTTGCTCTTTGGCTAAAGCCTTGCGCAAGGATTCCACCTTACTTCTCTCTAATGCAAGAGCTTCTTTGCTAGCAAGTAGAGATCCTCTTGTTGGATAAGAATCTCTTCTCTAGATTCTAGCTCGGCGTGGACACTCTCTAAATCCTCCATTAGCTTAGTGATAAATAATTTGGTCTTTCCATCCAAATTTTTAGTTATCATGTTTATTTATTTATCACTAGATTCATCATCACTAGAGCTATCACAAATATCACTACTAGAGATATCACTAGGAGGTGAAGGAGATTTGGCCTTCGATTTGGATTTTACCTTCTCACCCATTGCTATGAGACAAATGTGAGGGAAGTAGTAGTCATCATTAGACATGTCGTTGAAGAGCCTTGGTGTAGGGGATGACTTGTGAATAGCAATAGTTGCAACCTTCTCATACTCTTCACTTGTGCTCTCTTTAGTTGAGTCCCATTCATGCCCAATGTGAGCCTCTTCCATGTACTTCTTGCTCTTTTTACGATCGGCCTTCTCCTCTTTCTTGTTCTTCTTATATTTGTTGTCCTTGATCTCGTATAGACACTTGGCAATGAAGTGATCGGTGCTTCCACAATTGTAGCATATCATCTTTTTCTTGTTTGGAAAGCTTCTCTTCACTACCTTGTAGCCTTGCTTCTTTAGCCCCTTGTGATACTTCTTCATAAAGAGAGCAACATCATCAACTTTCTCATATTGATCATCATCATTTTCACTTTCACTTGAAGATGATGTGCTCTCTACTCTTTATTGAACTTGCTTGCTTGCTTTGGGCTTGCTAGTTGAAGCTTGTTGGTTGATCTTGGATTTGCTTGTAGAGCCTTGCTTGCTTGATTTGTTGGCCTTGCGAGCTACATCTTTGATCCTGATGCCCTCTAGCTTTGCTTGCAATTCTCCAAGTTTTTTCCTCTCATTTGCTTCTTCTCTTTGCATGTCAAAGGTCAAGATCCTTCCAAGTACATCATTTGGTGTGAAGTACTCAAACTTCTTCTTGTCTCTAATTAGAGTGACTACAGTCTCATTTCTAGGTGAATAAGTTTCCAACATAATCTTGACAACTTTGTGATCATCTAGCTTATTACAACCATAGCCTCTAATCTTGCCCACCATCGTCATCAACCTATCAAATATCTCTTGTGACCTCTCTCCATCCAAGATTACAAACCGGTTGAACTTTGACATCAACAAGTCAATTCTTGCCTTTCTCACTTTGTCAACCCCTTCATGTGCTAGGTGCAAAGTGTCCCATATTTGCTTGGCAACATCAACTCCAATCACTCTATTGTACTCGTCATCATCCAAGGCACTAAACAACACACTTGTGGCTTGACCATTGAGGTGAATGATTCTCATCTCTTCTAGTGTTGGGTTCTTGGGATCAATCGGTGGCTCAAATCCATTGTAAACAATCTCCCAAATGCTGGGGTGAAGACCTATAAGATAGGCTCTCATCAAGTGCTTCCACTTGACAAAGTTAGTCCCATTGAAATGAGGTAACTTGCCCGCGGGCACGTTGATGAAAGACCTCCGATCATGATTAGTCATAAGAATAGAAAAATAGTTAAAGGATACGGCGGCATATTTGTTGTTGTCGGCCTTGCCCTTTCTTTTTTTCTCCTTCTTGTTCCCCTTCGACACTTGGTATGACTCATCATCATCTCCATCTTTGGAATTACTTGATATGCTTGATGATGCACTTGTTGGCTTCTTCTCTTCTTCCTTCTTCTTCCTAGCTTCTCTTCTTTTTCTTCTTGCTTCTCTCTTGAGCCTTCTTTCTTCTTTCCTTTGCTTCTTCTCCTCTAACCGCTGCTCCTCCTTCTTCTTCTCTCTTGCTTCTCTTTTTAGCTTTCTTTCTTCCTTCCTTTTTCTTCTCTCATTCTCATTGAGAGCTCCTTCGGCATCGGTAGCTTCAAGATGTGGTAGCGTGGTGTTGCTTACTATCGACGCGCTCAGCTCGCTGCTGTTCGTGTCGACATCCACCTGCTTCGTGCCACTAGTTCCTCCTCCGGGCTCCATACCTCACGTGGTGAAGCATATATGAGGCAACCTGCTCTGATACCACTTGTTGGATCTCGGGTTGGCCTAGAGGGGTGTGAATAGGCCTGTCAAAACAAACACTTAAACTTTTATCAAATTCACCCTGCGGCACTGTAGGGGCTAGAACAGCGGCACTGCCGCACCTGTAGACAACTTCGAGTCATAGTTCAAAATCCATGAACGAAAACTTAGATTGGAGAAATTTCCTAGCTTACTGCAGGTATGACAATCACAGATCAAGAGCTAGAAGTAGTAGAAACACCACACACAAGTAGATCGACTAAAAACCCTAGAAATCAACTCAAGCACAATATGTCATGCAAGTAATGTAAATCAAGCACAAGTGACACAATGATTTATTCCGTGGTTTGACTCGCCACCAAGGCTTGCCTACCTCCATGTTGTTGAGGTTATCCACTAAGGCTTAGGGCTTTCCAACCCTTCCTTGTTCTCAAGTCAAGAGACTTAACTCTTGAGATGAGGGGTGAGTTTACTAGCTTCAAGAGATGGTTACAAACCTCCCAGGGCTACCACACAAGTTGGCAAGCTCCACGGACGACGCTCTAGCTGGCTAGGAGCCAAGCTCCAAGAGTAACAAACACAACCGCTGGCCAAAACGTTAACCAAGTGCTCTTTAGAGTTGGGAAATCAATGAAGCTGCTCTCTAATCGAGTTTTGGATCCTTTTCCCCCAAGGATTGATGGGAAAATCAATGGATTTGCTTGGGGGCTTGAGGTCAACAATGAAGGGAGAAAGAGAGAGCTCCGGCTCTATTTTAGGCGTGTTGAAGTGAGGAAGAAGAGGCAAAGTGCAGTTGGGAAGGAAGGGAAGGGTATAAATACCCCCAACCCCCAACGGTCATTTAAGTCGCTGCAGTGCCTCTCTTCAAGTGCAGCAGTGCCGCACCACGTAAGACAGCAAGGGTAAAAGTGAAGTGTAGACTGTCTTAGTGTGAATCTGAGGATGCATGTGTATGTTTGAGCACTTTGTAGCACATATTAGCTTAAGCATTGTGTCTTCCTTTATAGTACGGCTTTTTCTATACTCAAATTTAAAATATAAAAGAATATAAACCTCCTTTGAGTTTGAAGCCATCTACATTTATAATTGGGGGCTCCTCCGTTTCGTGTAGCATCTTCGAACATGAATTCCCTGTTTGTCATCTCGATAAATCTCATTAGTTCTCTAATTGCGTGGCCATTATCACCAAAACTCATAATTAGGGCTTGATTGCACTTTCACTCAGCCACCTACTTCTATTTGGAGTAATTTCCATTACTTGACTACCAGGAAACGGGGAGTGCAATTGGGGTTCTTAGCATCTATTTAGATGTGAATCTTTCTGTTTGTGTTCATTTGAGATGACCATGTATCTTCAATTTTGCAGATACATGGAGGATCAAGTGGAATTGGTACATTTGCTATACAGGTTGCCAAGCACCTCGGAATTAAGGTTTTTGTCACAGCAGGTTTGTTCATTATAACACAAATAAGACACAGTCAAATGTTCTTGGTGATGTCATGTCCCCAATAATTGTGCTGAAAATTATAGGAAGTGAAGAAAAACTAGCAGCCTGCAAAGATTTGGGTGCTGATGTATGCATAAACTACAAAATTGAAGACTTTGTTGAGCGTGTCAAACAGGAAACTGATGGAAAATGTATATCTCATAATCCTGTTTAATATTAGCTCATTTGTATTGTATCTAAAGTCCATATCTTACAAAGTATTATGTTAGCAACTGAATGTTTTTTTTTTGAAACAAAAGACAGGAGCTCTGCCACTCAATTAAGTAAGTAAAATAGAGGTTTATGTACACTTGGCATCTACTATGCCACACGGATTGGTCCTAGAACCAAAAGGAAAAGGAGGGGGGATATGATCCAGGCACCGCTAGAAGCTAAGTGGTCTCTCCAGCCATGGCCAGTGCCCTGTGTCTCTGTCCTATATCTTCTTTGGTCACGGAGGCTATTTGTTGTGCCGTCTTGTGCTCATTTTGAAATATCCTCGTATTCCTCTCCTTCCACAAGTTCCACACAATGTAGATGCAAACTCCATTGAAACGTCTTCGTTCGTGCTTTGGCACCTTGCTTGCTGTATGCTCCCACCAAACAACTGAATGTTAACAGCATGATTAGTACCATTATTCCCTGGAGGAACTACTTCTTCTTCTTTTTTTTTTTTTGCAGCAGTTATGTGTCAAGGCACTATAATCAAATTAATATGTGGTACTGACTGGAATCTGAACATCTACCAGGTGTTGATGTAATTCTCGACAACATTGGAGGACCATATCTCCAGCGCAATCTGAACAGCTTAGGTGTTGATGGTAGACTTTTCATCATTGGCTTCCAAGGTGGCGCTGTAACTGAAGTGAACCTGCAAGCTGTGCTTGCACGGAGTTTGACCATACAAGGTATTCTGGTTGCCTATGCCTGCAGGCAATAACAACCTATCTACATTGCAGTGATGCCCAGGACGTGTTGTTATGACATTTTTCTGGTTGATATGTTTTGTCAGTCTTTGGCTGTTCTCTTTATATAGGTGGAGGTGCTTGTATAGGATTCCTAAATGTTGTGTTCTATTTTAGCACTCGATTAAGGCTTCATGATCTTTTGTGCGCGCAGCTGCTGGACTGCGCGGCAGAAGCCTTGCTAATAAAGCTCAGATCGTCAGTGAGGTGGAAAAGAACGTGTGGCCTGCGGTCGCTGCCGGGAAGGTGAAGCCGGTGATTTACAGGACGTTCCCGTTATCTGAAGCAGCTGAGGCTCATAGGTTGATCGAAAGTAGCACACACATTGGCAAAATACTGCTGCTCCGATGACTTCCTGACTCTAGTGTTCGCTGTCAAACTCTTGGGGAGGAGTCGGTTCAAGCGAACTACAACTTCTGTAGCGACCTCTGTATGTATCAATGTATCATGTACTGGTGTGGCGTGCCTTTTTATCTTGTAAATTCGATCCTTGAAATTGCTGATGACATCAGCCTGTTCGCTTGCTCGTAAACGATCGTAAATTTCCAGTCGGAAACAGTGTTTTTCTCTCGCACGAAACCAGCCAGCAGTAAATAATCCACGATACGATACGACCTCCCGAACAGGCTGATTGTTGTGAACTGTGATGCACAGTAAATAAATTATGGCTGCTGCAGTACCTTGATGTCAGCTTGTTACCAGTACATTCTTTAGACCGTTGCTGACCTGGCAATAATGCTTGCCGATCTACAGACCCTGTCCTTCATCGGGTACATACTTTTCTGCTAGTCGACCATTGAACTAAAACTTGATACTCAGGAGTCATTTCTCTGATGACATCTCTGGTGCACCGTGCACGCTTTTCTTGCATAAAACTATTGAGCTAACCGTTGATACTTCGGTGCATTGCTCTGGACATGCACATATTTGGGAGTTAATGAGGAGATTTACCGAGTGCTTATTTTTAGAGAGTGCCGCTGAAAACGGTCAGAGGTCTGATTCTTTCTTTATATTATGCAAAAAGACGAATTAGAAAGTTGTTTCGTCCAACAGTATAGATACATGACTTGCCTCCAAAGAAAAGCAGACATTCTTCTGCCTCGACAAATAAAAAACATCGAACACATGCTATGCCTTTAAAGGATGTACAGGCAGGCTGATTAACAATACATTAGGACGATACTTTGATCTAGTTGCAAGTTTACTCCCAAACGAAATCTTGTTACTTGAGATTGGCGCTTGACTATGGGCCTGTTCGCTTGTCTGAATTCTGGAGGAATCTGGATGGTTTGGAGGAATGCTGGAGGAATTTGTGAGAGAAAATACTGTTTCGGATGAAAAAAAATAAACGGATCAAGATAGGTTTAAGGGCACGCGAACGGGACCTATATATAAGGGCTCGTTTGGTTTCTATAGGAGCTCCTAAAATTCCTGTCACATCGAATGTTGGACATATGCATGGAGTATTAAATATGGATTAATTACAAAACTAATTGCACAACTTGCGACTAATTTGCGAGACGAATCTTTTAAACATAATTAGTCTATGATTCGACAACATTGTGCTACAGTAAACATATGCTAATGACAGATTAATTATGCTTAAAAAATCCATCTCGCAAATTAGTCTCTATCTATGTAATTGGTTTTGTAATTAATCTATATTTAATGCTCCTTATTAATATCTGATGTGACATAAATTTTAGAAAAAAAAAAACTTAACACCCTCGCACAATGGGGCGGCCTGGCTGGCCTTCAACTTTTTTCTGCTCTTCTGCTGCCTGACGAGTGCGCAGTCAGAACTGGCCTTCCACATTCTGCAGGTGTACATCAATCTTTTCTATCTTATCATTATACAGACTTAAGAGTTTGTGCCGGTTTAGTTCCTAAAATTTTATAAAAATTTTCAAGATTTCCGTCACATCGAATTTTTGACGCATGCATGAAGCATTAAATATAAATAAAAAATAAAATTAATTATACAGTTTAGACGAAATTCACGAGACGAATCTTTTAAGCCTAATTAGACTATGATTGGACACTAATTGCCAAATAACAGCGAAAATACTACAGTACCATTTTCCAAAAAATTTCACCAAATAAACAAGGCATTTATCTTCATAGCTAGCAGCGGGAAATAATTTTGGCTAAACCTTCTCCATTTTTTCAAGAGAAATGCTATTTATCTGTCAATAGATTTTTTGGCAGAAATCTGTCATATTTGCAATGTTCTACAGTTCTAGTAGTATATGAAAGAGACGTTCAAGAAGGTTGGAGCAGACAAATCTTTTGGCAAAAATCTAACAAATTACAATGTTCCGTTCCAAGAAGTACAATGTTCCGGCAGTGAAATAAAAATGTTCTAGGTAGTGAAATAAAATGTTCAAGAACATCAGATACAATTTTATCTCAGTTTTTTTTTTTCAATAGTCCATCAATCCGTGGCCCTGCACGTGGTTAGAATATTAGAAAACATAACTATTAGAAGTTCATGTTTAGTACCTACAACTATTCAAAATTACTTATCTTTACCCTCTCTCTCTTGTGGTTCATTTTCTAACGTGAGACCCATGTAGATACTTTGTAATCTCTCCGGTTGTGATGAATTTGTCAATTAATCTATTTTTTTTTTTTTGTATCCTCACTTACTCATAGTTTTTCCCCTCTGAAGGGCACCTCCATGTGCCTTTAATATGTATTTAGTTAAAACCTTAACTTAAAGTATGGTGGTTCTTATTGCAGCTCATCTCTCGTGCCATTATGATTCTAGGATTTTTCTTTCAAATCTTGATATTATTGGTTGCTAATTTTTTTTATCCACATACTAAGTTAAAATTCTCGTGCGTATTATATCTTTTTTTCTTAAGCTCACCCTTTGTATTTTATTAAGAATAAGGATTTCATTCTTAGACTACACTCTAAAGTACTATGATGGCATAAACGGTTATTTAAGCATGCACCGCTGCTCAAGATCAGCAATGGAGCTTGAACTGGGATATAGGAGGGATCAATCGTGATAATTTGAATAGATATAAATATTAAGCCTAATGATCACTGTTTTATCTGTTTACTCTAAAGGAATTGCAAAACCAAAGAAACCACTGCCACCGTTGGTTTGCACTAACCTCCTCCATTGTTCAAAATGTCAACAAGGGCACCTAGAATGTTCATAAATCTTGTCGAGAAACTTGTAGAAGTAGAAGCATTGATTTTTTTTTTATCAATTGTGATACCATCAATCGCCCGTGCCAACTCATGTTTATAGGGTAGGGTGGTTTTATGTTAGTAGGAAATGCTTACAAGTCCAAAATCTACACATTTCCTAGATTACACTCGAATTCTGCCAAAACCGGCTTAGCCAGTTTGCTAGAGTCGGCGCAGAGTCACTAGAAAAAAAGACTTAGCCAGTTTCTCTAGGTTTAGCCCAATTTGGTTGTCAATAGTGATAGCCCGAACCAACTGATATGAGAAGGAAACTAATAAAAGGTGAGGAACCAATGGAGATACTATTGATCTCTTATTCAAACTCACAAAGGTTGCATGTACACGAAGTAGTACCCTCATTATCCATATATGCATTAAATCGGTTTGCTACAGTAACCGACTCCTGCAGTGCTGCTGTGCTAGTGCATCTCTCCTTCACTTCTCCTGCTGATTTTACTACTACTGCAGCAGTCAAAATGAAGCCTCTAGAGGACAGTAGCAGCTCCTCCCAGCTGTTGCTGTGCACGTACTTCAGTAGTCAAAACCAAATTGCCTTTTGACTCAAGAAAACATATTATGTTTTTCCATAATGGTAGAGGTGGATAATTTTATTTAGAAAACATATTCAATGGCTATCATATCAATACCAATAAGAGTCTAACAAATTGATGGCCAAATTTTTTGTGATAATTTCTAGGATTTACAAAAAAATTCCTCCAAATGCATCTCACAAGGATTAATATAAAGGACCCTTCTCAAATTAGTAATAGTAAGAAAAATGGTTTTAATCCAATATTCAGAAATAAGACAAATTTTATGGTTATGGGTGATAATCTGTCAAGAAATAAATAGATAATCCCTTTTTCTCAACAGCTACAGCAAACGGTGACGAGTCTCCATGGATCCTCCGCCAAACCAGCAAGCTGCAGAAGTGAACCTAACAAGGGCGCTGGAGGCCTTGTCCCCCTACATCAACAATCCGCGGCAGACGGTGGTGCGGATAGAAGCTTTTGTTCTTGTGGCAGTTGCGCTGCTGTTTCTGCAGCTCCTCCTCGGCTCAATCCGGGTGTTGTCGAACATCCACTAGCCATATCGACCATGAACAAGTGTTGTCCGTCCCCACACATTATGATTAGAGCTTGAAGAAGAAGAGAGAACAGAGCATACACACAGTACAAGACACCAGCGTTGGCCGAAGCCATGTCTGGAAGATGACAAATCTGAACTCTCTTTACTGAGTTGCCGTGGTAGTCTATTTATATAACTCTATCCATCTAGTCCCCAAAGACTGCTGTCCTGCTAATGCGGTGACTAGATAACATACTGAGGCGACTCTGACTCTGCTGCCGACCTCTACATGTGGCTCTGATCTTGCATGTGAGCCATGCGACGCTCACACTGCGGCGCCTCTGAGTATCACCAAGATGGGGGTCTTTCGGCGCCGTCCTTCCCTTGCTGTGTTCACACAAGGTAGCAGTAGATTATCTAACAATCTTCCCCTAATCCTACTGCTAACCCTTGTACCCCCTTCATACCGATCATCTCCTTCAGCTCCGTGAGTCGAAGACGTCCGAAAGCGGCTTAGTGAGGACGTCCATGAGTTGCCGACCGATTTCGACGAACTCGATGACGATCGCCCTCCATCGACACGATCCCCGAGGAAGTGGAACTTCACGTCGATGTGTTTGCTCGGTCGCATCTGAAGCTGGATTCTTCGCGAGGGCGATGGCGGGCTGGTTGTCCACCATCGGTCTTTGGGGTGAGCTTCACACCGGTCGGCTTCGCCCGGCCGGTGGCGCGACCACCACAACAGCATGTCGGCTGTGGCCGTCGCTTCGTGCTACGCCTCGCCGCACGTAGATAGCGCCACCACCTTACATTTTAGCGGCGACCATGAAATTGGGGCCGACCGAGGAAGACGAGCACGCCGGAGAGGTGCTTCGTCGTCGCGTCGATGTCCCCGTCATGTCTCGCATCGCCGAACACGATGAGTCGCAGACCCTACTCCCACCGGTCTTTGGAAAGATGATCCCCTGATCCACCGTCCCTTTGACGTAGCGCGGTAGCCGCTTCATCGCAGCCCAGTGATCCTCTCTGGGATCTTCTATAAAGCGACTGACGTAGCCCACGGCGAACGCAATGTCCGG